GGGGCTCGGGGCCGGGGCCCGGGCGGTGCCGCCGCGGCAGCGGCCGCCCCAGCTGCATCGCGCTCTCTCCGCAGGTCCGGCGGTGGCGGCGGCGCAGGCCCGCGCGGCGGGGAGCTCCGCGGGAGAGACGCGCCGTAAGTAGCGGCCCGGCGGCGCTGCCGCCTCTCCGGCCCGCGCAGCAGCTTCTCTGAGCGCGGGGCTCGGCCCGGGGCTAGCGGCCTTGCCCAGTCTCTGTTTGCACAGCGGTGCTGCCCGTGCTGACACAGTGCAAGCTCTGCAGCTCTGCTCYGTTCCCCTGCGTGTGCCACGCTCCATACGTGTTGACGTTTAGGTAGAAACATCCCAAACGTGAGCTGAGCTCTGTAGCCTTCAGCTTACCTGAACCTGGAGCAGCCCAGTGCTGCCAGAGCTCCTGAGAGGCAAATAGAGTGTCTGAGAGGTTGTTCATTTGTTTGTCTGAACGTTTCTAACTAATTAGGGTTCGGAGCTGCTGCCGTTSTTTCTGGAGCTTACCCTGTTCTGATTGTGGAAACTTTGTTTTTCTCCGTAGCTACTGTCAGGCCCAAAAATGAAGTGGAGCAGAAGCAGCTCTGTGCTTTTGGGGAGTACGTGGCCGAGATTCTGCCCAAGTATATCCAGCAGGCCCAGGTAGGTGCTGTCCCTGGGAGGGGAGCTACTGCTGCCCGGCCTTGCAGGAGGCACACATGAATGCACAGGGCTTTGGTAGATGTGGGAAGTTGTTTTGGGGAACATAGATTGTCAGAATTAGATGAAGTTACTTCTGTTATGGAGCCTCCTTGCTTCATGTCCTGTACGTGTCTGCGGTACCCTGTCCTCTGCTTGCTGAAGTCTCCACTGGATTCAGTGCGGGATTCAATCCCATTAGCATCCAAACAACTTTTCCTTGCCCTGTTTAGGTGACCTGCTTCAATGAGTTGGAGCTTTTGATCCATCCGGACGGGATCATTCCGGTCCTGACRTTCCTTCGGGATCACACCAACGCGCAGTTCAAATCGCTGGCTGACCTGACTGCYGTCGACGTCCCGTCCCGGCAGTATCGCTTCGAGGTGAGGCTGCCTCCTCGGCGCGCGCCCCCGAAACCCTCGCGCGTGGCCGTGCCTTGGGATGCTGCTGCAGCTCTGGCTATGGACTCTGCTCTCTCACAGTCAGCAAATCCACTCGGGAATGGTGGTTTTGTTTAAGCATGGAACCATAATGGACATGGCACTGACACACTTGGTTCCCTTTGTGCTCTACTGCAAGTCTTTAAGGCATGTAAGCCAGCAGAGGATGCCTGGGGCTCGTGTGCTGTAAGAGGCTGGTTATGGTTTAGGCTGAAGAAATGTCCTTTCTCTGTTCAATTCRGGCTGACCCAAACAGGCTCAGGGTCAGAGAAGAGAAAATGTGAGCAGCATAATGGTAGCTTTTGGTTCCCAGTAAAGAGCAAGGATGACGAAAAGCAGCTTATTTATTTCGCTTGTTTTGGTCTACCCTGTGATGTTAAATCATTTACCAAATGCTGCTCATAAAACAAATTAGAGGATGATAGGCTTATCTTATGTGGATTTCCCTAATCAGAGGATGTCTGTTGTTTTGAAATATGTCTCTTTGCTTTGCTAATAACAGCTAACAGGTAGTTAAATTAGTAATGGAAGTGGTGTCAGGCTAAAATACCAGAGACTAGATAGTTTCTTAGCCCTCTGTTCAGACGTCAAGTCTCTTGAGGAAACTGAAGATTTCTGAATTTAGGATTTTTCTTTCATAAATCAAGGTAGTAAAGCTTAGAATTCACTTTTTTTTTCAGCTACCTGCATAAAGACAGTCAAAGATGATATGTGATGTGTTACAAATTTCATTTTTTAAGTCTGCTTGTACTGTGTGGGTTTTTTTTCCTCCACCAGAGGTTTTTAATAATCCTCATAWGCTGATTTTATCAGTATTTTTATATCCCCGACTATTCTAATTGTTTGCTGAAAATTAAATGAATTTCCTCTTTTCTTTCTCCCATTATGTGCTTAGCTATTTTCTTCGTGACAGATCCCTTCAGTGTTATTTTAAGATATGTATCCATTTTTTTGAGCTCTTCTTTATAAGTCATGTTTTCTGTATTTCTCATCCTTTTCATTATACTTCTAAGGAAAAATCAGAGATGTGCTACTCGACCCTCRGTTTTAGAGTGTCTGCTAGCACCTAGATTTGAAGTACTGCTGTGATTTTGCTGGAAAGAAGTTATTTGAAATAGTGTGCGTGTGTCTCTGCTCAACCAGTATTATACCATGAAGAGATCTGTAAAGTCTGTGCGAGACCAATGGTTTTTGTTTTGTTTTGCCTCAGATTGTTTACAATCTCCTGTCGTTGCGGTTCAACAGTCGGATCCGTGTGAAGACTTACACTGATGAACTGACACCTATTGATTCRGCAGTGTCTGTGCATAAGGCAGCAAACTGGTATGAAAGAGAGGTGAGCTGCAGCCCCCTTAGAAGTGGGACCTCTGTGGAAAGAGGCAGTTTTCCTGATGAGACTGATTCCCACAGTCTGTCTTCGGGAACAGGAGAAGAAAAGTTTTAGATACTCTTCTGACAGATTTCCTGAATCAGTTGCAGAGGCATTGCACAAAGCCAGGCAGGCAACTGCTTTTTTTCTGTCATAATATATAAATGAGTTCTCTTTCTAAATGAGAGCCTTAACTTGCAGCATTGTGCTTGAGAGCTCCTCTGTTTCCTCAGTTGTGTTGACCTCTGGATGAGGTGAGGAACCAAGGAACTGCTAGGAAGATTAAGATAGTGATAATGTATCTAAGTGAACTTACTCCTTTTTATTTAGGTTTGGGACATGTATGGTGTTTTCTTTGCCAACCATCCTGACCTAAGGAGGATTCTCACAGACTATGGGTTTGAGGGCCACCCTTTCCGGAAGGACTTTCCACTGTCTGGTTATGTGGAGGTAGGAGACACGTTGATATCTAAAATTACAAATCTCTCACTGTTGTCTGCGACTACTTTATAATCCTTGGTCAAAAAGGCCCTAAGAGACTTCACATCTCTGCCTTCCAGAGCAGTTGTGTGTACCTTTAGCATGGATATTTGAAGTCCTGACAAAGGACTTCATAACAATAGAGCCTAAGGCCAGAGACACTGCACCAATTTCATCTGCTATATAAAACCTAGGGGAACTGTCAGGCAAAGAAAGCTCTGGTTTTAGTGTCTCAGCTGGAATATTGAGCTTTCCATTAGAAATGTGGAGATTCCCAGAGGTTTAAAGGGCAGAGTCAATCTTTGTGCAGCTGTAACTTCATTTTGTGGAATGTTCACAGGCAAGTGCCCAGATTATAAAACTCCTCAGTTGCACTGACTTTATTTATCAAATTTTACCTCTATATTGATGATGAGTTCAGTAAGCATGTCTGGCCTCTGCTTCACRTTAAATGACCATCTTGCAGAAGCCCTCACACATGGTGCAGTTCTAAGACGAGCTGAGTCTCGGGAGAACATGGTGAGATGCTGTGCAGGGCAGCAGAAGTTTTTTCAGAGAACAGAAATGGCAGGGAATTCTGTGAGTGAGGATCACACAGCATCTCCTAACAGTCTTTTTTTGGCAATCTTGACTGACAGAAGGAAGACAAATTAAGCCTGCCAGAAGTGAACTAACCTACCCTTCATTCACGTYTTCTTTTCGCCCCATGTTGTGAGCTTTATGCAAAGAAGCCAAACTGAAACCAAAGAAACTGCTGCAGTAAAGCTTTATAACAATTCATGGGAATGGTACCCAAGTGTGGCACAGGGATGGACCAGAGGTTTTCAGTGGCTTAAGAGAACTGACCACGTTATTCCCAGTGGACTGCATGTAAAGTGTAGCTGGGGACTCCTAAGTCGGGGCTGTTATCCAGGACAGCTGCAGTGCATCATAATAAAGATAAAGGTTTTGCTGGAGCGTTCAGAGGTCATGGTAGCATCTGGATGGTGATTTTTTTTTGTTTGTTTTTGAATAATAGGGAGAATTGAAATTGTCTCAAACACCTGTGGCCTGCGTATGGCACAAGAACTGGGAAAGCCTGTTGTGAAGGGTGGCCTGTGAGCATGTTGTGATTGGGTACAGCTAACGGTAGAGCTCTTTATGCTGGGGATTGTATAACAACTACTAGCCTGTGTCCTTTGCACTATTACAGGTCCGGTATGATGATGAGGTGAAAAGGGTGGTGGCAGAACCCGTGGAGCTGTCTCAGGAATTTMGAAAGTTTGATCTGAATAGTCCTTGGGAGACATTTCCTGCCTACCGTCCTGCTCCAGAAACTCTGAAAATTGAAGCAGGAACCAAGAAAGAAGATGCAAAATAGTGCCAGAAGGGAGAGGCTGTATGGAACTATCCTTTCTGTTCTGCCATAGTATTTATAATAATAAAAGGTGATATGATATTCTTGTCTGTCATGGTCACATAGTGGTGGTGTCGAACTGTCTGAAGAGTGCAGGATGAAGAGCAATAATTTACGATCCTGATAGTCCAGTTGGAATATGTTTATCTTTTGTTTTGAGTCACAAGACACTGGATTTGTGTGTCTTTGGCTTGCAAATTGAAAGGAATCCAGGCATTTCCTCTGGCTAGGATATGTTAGATACACTGCRTCTGCTAGCTGTCTCTGCAGATGTAAATCACAGCTCTCACCAGTGCAAACGGTAGGAGCCTGTGCTGAAACAGCTGTGGAACTTGAGGGGATGGACATCAGTATTTCAGCTTTGAGGTAGGGACATAGTAGCCCAGCAAAGCTTTTCTAAATGGTTCTAATACAGCTGGCATTAGGACAGCACAAGTTAAGTGGATGTGGACTGAAGCAACTGTGGCAGTGACTACATTGTTTCCTTGGGAATTAGGTCAGTGTCTGTTCTGCTGGCRCAAGGAGGAGCTGTAGATAACCACTCACATGTCACTCCTTCACTCTGATCATTCTGATTTTATTTATTTTTTGAACCTAGTAATCTTTACTTTTCCTCCGGGCTCTGATCATACTACTTTTTGCAGTCAGAAACATCTACTCTTTCTCTAAGGATTTAAAGCATTTTTGGTACTATTTCAAATCTTCTAAGATCTGTGATATCATAGCATTATCATTGTTCTTGTGGAAAATCCCAACTCTTTAAAAAAGTAAGAGACATAAGATAGTTTCAAATGATCCATCACCTGTTTGAACAAGATTTCATTACAGCAATCGTAAATAATAATGTTGCTTGTCCCTAGTCCAGAAAATGCGTGATGCAGCTCTCTTACCAGAAAGCTGTTTACCTTAATTAAGGTGAGAAAATTAGCATATAAGATCTCATAAGACCATTCACTAGGAGTTTGTAGAGATCCACTGATTCATCACAGCACTTAAGGCTTTTTAATGATTACAAAAAAAGGCGGGAGGAGACTTGGAAAATTTAGATGTTGGGGATGAAGGGAGGGATAGAACAATAAGAATTTCAAAAAAGGAAGAAAAAAAGGCAGTTAGTTAATCAGTTCCAGTAGRATATGATTGTTTTTCAGCAGCAAAATCACGGAGTTGAACTGTATGGTAAAAATCAACTTCATATTTKTTTGTTTGTTTCCACCCTAGCCTTGGTAAGTGTTGACTTCCTCAATACTTTCCTCCCTTAATTTGTTTCAGGCTGCTGTGGCTTGCCATATTTGATACTCAGAGCTACATTCTCCATWTAAAATTAAAATAATTTGCCACCCTGCTTAAAAGTCATAGCTCTTTTGCGGAAGGAAAAGGGAATGCACAGAAATTAAYAGGAGTTCTAGATTTTATACAGCAGACAGATTTGGGGCTGATTAAGTCAGAAAATAGACTTTTTGTCTTTCCTACATGTTCCACAGCTGGTTCTGTTTTCTGGTGCACGGGTTCTTCCTTCATGCCAATGCCTCATGCTCAAGGCAGAAAAGTTCCTGGTGTCATTCTGTTACTGTGAAAATGCTTTRTAAAACATGTCTTCCCCCTGCTTTTTCTCTCCCGCATCCCATGTTGCTTGAGGCAAAATGACAAGATTCATGGCGTGTGTATCATAAAAATAAGTATTCCTCACTGTGATAAGCCAGAAGACTGAAAGTAGCTGCAACGGAAGGAAAACTGCTTTTTAAACATAATATGTGTGCAGAGGGTGAATTTGATTGACATAAGAGAGAGAAATGTTAAGACACAGTGCCATGTCAAGTTAAACAAAAGGCAAGATTTGCTGAAGAAAGGTACTCAAGTATATAGCCAGCCCTATGGGACAGGCTTTGGCTCCAGCAGATCTTTTATAAGCAGAATATTTGTTAATGGACCCACATCTCTTGTACTTTGTAAACTCCCTGGYTTCTCTAACAACAATTTACTCACTCAGACATACTCTCCCAGGAGATTAGGGGCCAAACAAGTTGGCCAAGCGGTGCTGGTTTTGGCATGTTACTTCCAGAGCTCCCACATCTGTGCCCCAAGGATTGTTCTCACTTGTCTTATGCTCTGATACTTCCTTGTTCCATGGCATACTCTCTCCTGCCCCAGGCAAAGCTTCATCTATCTGCAAAAAAAAGTCTGGATCAAGACCCAAGGAGCTCTTGGAGATTTTGATTCTGCAGATCTTTTTCTCCCTTTCCCATCTTACTGCTTGAAGAATCCCCAGTGGAAAAGGCTCAATCTGCCAAGATGCCCCTGCAGAAACCATGAGTGATGTGACATGGCTTTGAAGCTGTTTCTGCAGCAGGTGCTATGGCCAGAGCGTGTGTGGAGGGGACAGGATTATGCCCACTCAGCTGTGAATACCTGGTAAGGACAGAAATTTCTTGTGAGGAGCCGGTGTGCCACCTAACGYGGTATGTGCAGGGGCAATATGCTACTGGCAGAAACCCAGACTTGCTTCTGTGCACAACTCCCAAACAATTACTGCTGCTTTACAAACAAGTAAGGGTTAGGATATGCTTATGAACCCTCTCCAATCACCTTCCTATATGGAATAGTGAGAGATGCAGCAAATCTGCARATTCCCCCAGCTGAAGCCAGTATCTGGCAGTAAGGTTTATCTTCTGAATGGCACTGCACCAGTCACAGAAGCATRAAGTATCTTCCTTTGGACATTTTAGTTGCATGCTGTTCCTAGGAAATATTTCTGTTAATAAAGTCAAATGTGACTTTGCAATGTGACTTCTAGACAGGGTCATGTGTACACTGTGCCAGGGGACTCTGGCACAAAGCAGAAACACATCAATCTCACTGTGCAGGTGGGTCTTCAGAGTTTGCCTCCTGAATAGCATATTCACAGTTCAGTAAAAGATATCCCGAAGAAAGGAATGTAACTAAAGAAGAAGTAGCAGAAAATAATCAAAGCTGACAGAAGGTAGCTTCATTTTAAACTAGCCAAGGCTATACCATGTATTTTTAATCGGAAGACAGATTCTTTTTCCCTAAGAGACACCTTGAACCTGATAGAGATGATATTGCTATTTATTTATATAACTCTAGCAGCCAAAGAGCTCTTGGAGAGCCAGTGACCATACTGTGCTGCACACAGTAGAGATACAGAACAGCTTGAGTAGGGAYGAGGTACTAACAAAAGTGCAAAGATCATCAGTTTGATCATTATTTCTTTGCATTCGGAGGTATTATTTTGTGTGTTCACACKTTTTACTTTGTTATCCTGTTTGGATCTCTGTGTGATTTTCAATTTTAAACACATACATAAAAATGTAGGTTTCTGCTGCTTCTTTTTTTCCATTGTGGATTACAGCCTTATGGTAGGACAGATACTGGGTGAGAATGGAGTATGATGAAGTTTTGTCTATATAATTCACAACTCCCAAAGCAGACTGTGCTCACTGTGACCCAGAAGTCTTGTCCCAGCAAAAGATAAAGAGCTAAAGCCCAGCTGACTCCAGTCCTTGCTGTTTGTTATTAACTTGTCTCTCGGAAAGTTTGTTACATAACTGAGCAAGTGACATTTCTTCTGCTTGCTTGTACATTTGGCTGCAACTGATAACTTTCTTTAGTATATAGCAGTAAAAAAAAAAAAAAAAAACATCCTGTGGAAGAGTTTAAACCATTCTGCYAAAACTTTCACGGCAAAGTCTTCAAGTTTCCAAAATATGATGGAAAACATTTTTTGGGGACAGCAAGTTCAATTGCAAGCCCTTCCCAGGGCTGGACGCAGAAATAGAGAAAGATGGATCTGCTCCAAGAGAGCCTGCTGGGAGCAGAAGCAGCAAGGAAGGAGCACACAGCAAACTCGCCTCACACGCAGCCTTGTCCGTGGGGCAGCTGCGAGCCCCGGCCGGGCAGCGCTACCATGCTCCAGGTGCAGCTCAACGCCTGGCTCATCCTGTGCACGTGTGCTGGATTCCCGAGGCCGACAGGTAGGGAAGGCACCTRATAGTGATGTGGCTTCTTGGCTTGGCAAGTGCTTGTGCAATTCCAGTGGTGTTACATTCTGCTTTCTTCTTCAAATGCAGTCAAACTCATTGGCAAGCAGTGCTGACAYAGGCAGAGAGACTTTAACTGCACTCCCAGCTGGATTCTGCTCTTAATGAGGAAAAGAAACAAGGAGTTTATCTCCTCAGCGTTTTGAGACCCCTGCTACTTGTGGTGTCAGAGAGAGAGCAATATCTTTGCTGAAAAAGACTCCCTCTGCAACAGTGTTTGTGGATTTTCTAGATCCTGTTGAATGATAAAATCTGTCAAATGATTAAAAAACCCTATTTCCCCATGTTCAGAGGACTTTTATATTATCATTTGAATACATTGTTTGTTATGTCTTGTTTCATTTTTGAATTACTTCAAAAAAAGTCTAATATAAGATAGCCTAGATAACAGTTTGGTGACTTTCAATAAATCCACTGACTTTGCAGCCAATTAGATATGTTTCAGTAGAGATGTCTGTGAACTCAGCTGCAGGAGGGTGAAATGTGGGTCAGTTAGTTGAGAGAGAAGCCCAGAAGYTTCAGGTGAAGACATATTTTTACCTCAATTCTAAGCCATAATAGCACATTGCCAGTGCAGGAGGAAACAGCAGCCAGCATCCCAGCTCACATTCCAGAGGATGCAGCTGCCTTACATCAGGGAGCCTGCAGCTGTTCAGAGAAACAACCTCCTTAGCCAGCAGGGAGAGCAGCACATCTTCCAGGCGGCTTGCAAATCTCCATGAAAAGCTTTAATCAAGGATGGAAAGTTGGAAGTGTATTCGTGGTAGTCACCACACATATGCACAATTAAACCAATCTTGTTTTTCTGTAAGCATCTCCTGACATTAACCCTCAAGCACACATTTTTTTTTCTCTCTCATATTAAAAAGCCTTTATACTCTCTACATAAAATATCAGAGAGCTTACTATTTCTTGCCAACTTTTTCTTTTCTGGTGCTTCTGTTCTCATGCCCAGAGCCAGTCAGTGATTCAAACTGTGGTTCTGTGTATCAGCGCTGTTTCATCTCTCTGACCTGAAGAATGAGCCTCTAACCAGTAGATGATCTTGCTTACCTGACTGCCCTGATAAATGCAGAAAAGGGAAAGGTTACAGCCTTCCTGTCGAGGTCCTGGGCTGAGACTGCTTTTTATCCTCCTTTAAACAAAGATCCCAGGGTATCATTASCTTCTTGAAAAACTAGGAAGCACCTAAAGACACCAGTGCGAGCTCCAGCTCTAACCCGCAAAGCAGGTGCCTCGGCTCCCATRGGCTTTGGCTCTGTAAGCGGGCAGGCTCATCATCCCCAAAGCTTCCACTTGGCCCCTTTAACCACTKCTGCTTCTCTTACAGAGCCTGCTCTGCTCACCCAAAATCTTGCAGTCAGCATCTGCCATATTAGGTAAAATATGAGCAGCAGCTCAAAAATGCTGAGGACATGACTGACAAGTGAACAACAAAAACAAGAAGGGCCAGGATCGTGCCCTCCCAATCTCTCTCTAATGTTTTCCAGATGAGCATCTTTACAGCCGGGACGGTGCCGGGGCGAGCGTGCATCATCGCCGGCCGGAGGACGCCGCCGTGCTCTTAGAGGTCGCCCGTGGGCCGCGGCTCCGCTAGCGCCTGCTGCTCCCGCCCTGCGGCGCGGAGCAGCCCCACGTGCTGCTGGCCGCATCGCTGCTCCGAGCATGGAAAGCCATGACCTAATCCCGTCTGCACTCGCCCTGCCCCAACAGGCGTCCTCCCTCGTCCCTCCCCTCCCTCACGGACACCACAGATGTTGCTGGGAGGGTCCCTGAGCGCAGGGTGGATGCTGCTGCCGGGTGCCTGCGATCCAGGCTCTGCTTCCCCCTCGGAGGGGACTGATCCTGGGAAGGGCCAGTGCCTTCTGTGCCCCTGGGAGCTTGGGGCTGCCTGCTGGGGCTGCTTTGCCTCCTGTCAGGCCTCTGGCTGCCTCGCTGGCTCACGCATGGCCCAAAGGGAAGGTGCAGAGCAGGGCAGGGCTCATGGGGATGGATTCGGTCAGGGTGAGGAGGGTCCTGGGCAGTGAGTCAAGTGTCCTTCTCAGTCCAACCTGGGTTTTGTCCAATTTGCGGATGGTCTCGCATCTCCATGAAGGTTTGTACGGGACTGTCTGTTGGCAAGTGACTCTTCTCTTCCAGATGCTCTGGGCAGGGCTGGAGATTGAGGCTAACAGGACGAGGCCAGCAGTCCAGCTACGGGATGAAGAGCTGGCCTCCCTGCGCCCAGCACGGCGGTTCCTCCAGGTGTTTGAGAATGAAGTTCCCAAAACACCGGCAGAGATTGAGCAGCAGCTGCACTATTATTCACTGACTGATACGCCTTTGCCCATTGTGGAGTTTGACCGTCTCCTTTTCACCAGTGTTTACTGCGCCTATCAGATTCGTTCCATTCAGGGTCTGGATAAAAATCTCTGGATCAGCCTTTTTTCACAGCTGGTTGATGAAATCTTTCGTGATCTCTGCAAGGGAGTTTGCCCAGCAAATTCCACTCTCCTCCTGGCTTCCTGGCCTTGGAAGGAGAAGCCACCACATTTAGCATTGCTAAAGCAGTTCTACCCTTCCAACCTGGCAAGGACCAAGAGAGACACTTAGTAAGAGGAACTGCCCTCACAAAGGACACGTGAGTTCAGCTGCATGCTCTGCTGTTCTCAGTGCTGGCAGTCATTGCAGGATGATGYAGGATGCTGCGCAAGGACACCTCCCCTTTTTGGTCCTGCTTTCTGCGCTGTGCTGCCAACCTCTGAGGGATTTATCCACAGGCTTTCATTTTTAAATGAAGTAGGACAAAGCTGCAGAGTGTATTTCACCCTTTCCTCTGTGTTGGTGAAGTGGGTTGTGCTGAGGGGGCTGGATTCTTCAGAAGCGTTACCCCGCTCGACCTTTGATACTTAAAAAGGGGATGTCCTGACMTTGTTTTCTGCACGGTGTTAGTACCAGTGTACCAGCTGAATTTGTCCTCGGTAATGCAATTTTGCCTCCTTATATTCATTCTCATCCATTCAGCTGAATGCAGTACTTTTTCTTCTCTCCAGGAGCCCACAGGGTAGATGCTGTTATGTTTCACCATAAAAGCAATGCGTTTAATTTCAGATTTCTGGTCATGTGACATCCTATTTTAAATGTCTGAATAAATTTCCTATATTCTGTATTCATTTTCCTTAATGAAAAGCAAACAGCTCTCCCCTCACCCCAATGTACATATTCTGTGGAGCTTTCTGGTATACATATATCACACTTGCAAATATATATATACTGCTTTGTATTTATGATTGTTATAGGTTTGGAATACACTTCCTTATATCACATTTAAATTCCTATGGATCATGACCTAGTTATTGCAACTGTAGATTTTACTTCTTCTGTGAAGTCTTTTTGAACAGCTATGGCACTTTACAAGCCCAGTGTAATAAATACACAATCTCTATCCTCAAAAACAGGAATGTAATTATTTTGTAGAACAAGAGCATTTAAATTTCTTTGTCTTGCACACTGTATTGTAGAATTAAGGGAATGTAATTAACTACCCAGGAGAGTTTTGATTTTTTTTTTGTTTCTATTGGCTTCCTGCTGTCATTATAGGTACATTAAATTTGGACATGCCTCCCTACATGGTGAGAGCCTTAATTCCCTTCGTGTCAATATACTTTTAATTTCCCAGGTTCAACAAAAGAGACACTCAAAACAGGAACTGCGCCCTTTTGACCTAGTTTAGTTTTCTCCATGCTATTGTTACCCGACAGATGGAGAGGAGAAGCAGTGAGACAGGAAYGAGAAGCCTGGAAGCAAGATGTCACAGAGAATGGTTTTATAGGTCAGATCAAGGCTATAACAGGAGAGATGGATTTATAGAATTTACAAGGTATATTTTTTTCCAAAAGATGCAGGAATTAGGATTAGTATTTTCTTTAATTTCCAACTTCAAGACAGCTAAATTAACATCTCAGTGGCCTTTTTTTTTTTTTTTTTTTTTTTTTTTTGGTATACCTTCAATTTCCACCCTTCACACTTCACCTGAACATGTCTTCAGTCTTTAATGTCTAGGATATGCAGGGGCGATATACTGACCACATACAAATTCACCTCGAAAAGAGAACTCAACTTAAAGCCTGGGTTGGGATGGCATCAGTTCATGAAAATATTGTCTTGTTAGAGATACCAAGTCTGAGCTTTGTGAATACCTGGATAAAGGTGAGGCTTTGGCTTGGTCACTCAGATATAGTAGTACTGCTTTGACTTCAGATTTTCACTAGGGGCTTTGTTGTTTACTGAGCAGATTACAAGCTAAAGTCAAGTGATACCACAAAGGTGCATGCACATTTAAGCTGGGGTACTTTTGCAGTTTATGTCAAAAGAAAGACAAACCAGGGCTCAGTTGGGTATCCAGCCCAACTTGAACAGGCTAGTGCACTGATCAAACAGCTATGAAGAAACCACGAGCCTACTAGATTCCCATTGCTCACCTCAACCTGTTAGGTTATGACTATCCTCCCATCCTGCAGGAACATAGTATCAGACCAGACTCCAAGGCTCCAAGGAATAYGGTCTGATAGGAAAACACTGTAACCTAGGTGCTAAAGATATCACTTTATAGTGTCTTTGATCACATTTTGGCTAGGTTAGTAGTATGGTGTGAGGTGGTTAATCATACTCTTGTATTCAAGGAGATCACTGCCAGGGAATATACTGCTACTGCACGGCACACCACTCATCCAYACTCATGAGCGTGCACCACGCGCGCGCACACACACACACACAAACACAGATTATAAAATACATGTTGTGCTTCTCTTACTTGGTTCTGAGATTTCAGAAATTGGTCAGTTCATTGATTTGGGCCTTCTTCCTTTACAAGGGCTAGATGTGTATTTTTTGTTTACTTTTAAGTGTATTACTATTTTCAGTAATAGTAATTACTGGTAGCTGGGGTTCTCAAACACAGCTTCTTGACCTCAGCAACTTCAGATTAAGAAAAGCAAGTACTGTGAAACTTTCAATAAAACCATGAACGGTACCAGACCTCACACACACATCAGATCTTGCACAGAACACACGGACCGACTGGCTCAGTAACACAAACCACAGCTCGTTTAGTCACCACATTTCTTTCTCTCCTGAACTAGTATCTCAGGCATCTAAAAGCACACAGGTTTCACAGGCAATAACAAATTCAAATCTCAGCAAATTTTAAGGTTTTTGTTTTGTATTTTATTACATTCATTTGCATTACATTTGTTCCTTCCCCAAATATGCAGAAAAAGTCTTTTGTTTTCTGGATTCTAGGGTTCTGCAGTAACACTACTGGATTCTAGGGTTCTGCAGTGTCTCTCTGATACTCAGCATCTAACTACCCCGCCCCACCCCTGCCCCAAATCTACCTCATGCTTTACGCTTAAATCAAACACCAACACAGGACACACATTTAGATGCTGTAAAGACCTTTCTACRGATGAACGACAGACACAGCAATGGCCCTGCAGCCATGGCACAAGCGTGCGGCGTTAGGGAAGCACTGGACACATGTTAGCATGCTTGAAGTAGAAGATGACACCRAACAGGAGTCGGTACAAGTTGGCCCACGTACAGGGCACCTTGGCTTCTCTTCATCTCCTTTTACATCCACATCTAATTTTCTGACCCTTGGGGTGAGCTGGCACCTGGAAGCCGCTTTGACTGAGCATCTGAATAGATCAGGAAGCCCGTGAAGGTAATGTACTTGCCGTGGTTGCTGTAGGCACCATAGCCATCGTGCTGATGGCTGTAGAGCCAGACAGTGTCCCCATATTGCAGGGGCAGCATGATACTCTGGCTCTGCATCTCCCGCCTCTTGGAGTGGTTGTCATCATAGATCATGGCCTGCACCTCATTGTGGTTCTTCATAAGTTTCACTGACATGGTCTTAAAGGGCATTTTGCCAATGGTGAAGGAGAAGTAATATGCACCAGGAATACGGCATGAGAAGATGCCACTAGAAGAGTTGAAATCTTTACCAATATTCACAAACTCTGTGTCAAACGTGATTGGTTCATGCTGGGTTTGCTTGTCATCTGTCCCCAGGAGACTTTGTGAGCGAGCAACAGAAAATGCAGAGCGAGGGTCTTGCTCCCTGTTTGGTTGATCAGATAACATGTGTCGCTGTGAAACCTCATTTTGCTCTCCTGGAAGTTGCTGAATGGTGTGATGGGGTGGCTCTAATTCCTGAGAGCTCAGAGCATTCTGGAAGAAGGCAGAAGTGTCTGGATAGATTAGATAGCCAYTGAAAGTTGTGTAGGGGCCCACGTTGCTGTAAAGAGCATACTTGGGGTCTCCATGTAAGCGCAGCCAGACGGTGTCACCGTAGTCAAGCTGCAGCATGGCACTCTGGCTGGCTACCTTCCGTTCCTTGCGGTGATGTTCATCATACACAATCACTTGCACCTCATTCTTGTTTCTCATCAGCATGACAGACAAATTTTTCTTTGGGTACTTCCCAACAGTGAAGGAGAAGTAATAGGCTCCAGGGATCCGACATCGGAACAACCCTGTCTTCGGATCAAAGTCATTGCCAATGTTCACATACACTTTGTCAAATGTAATGACCATCTCAGAGCTCCCTTCCATGCTGCTGGTTCTGGCTACAGAGAAAGCAGAGCGGAATTCAGTACTGGTGTCAGCTGGGAAGCCATCTGCAGGCAGAAAAAGCACACACCAGAGGAAGCCAAACAGGAGCTGAACCTTCAGAGTCATCATGGGATCTGGAAGAAAAAGGCAGCATAGTTTACCAAGAATCTTATTAATTTTCAGCTCATACACTAGCTGAGACTCACACCTGAATCCTGCAAAACAGCCATCAAGGTTCATGTCAAGGACCGAGAAATCTCAAGTGCTCTCTCTGATAATTGTTTGAGACCATTTCTCAGCTCAGATTGCAGCCCCTTTTTGAAATTTCCCCAGTGGCAGACGGACATTTTTTTTTGTCCTGTGCTTATAGAAAAAAAAAAAAAAAAGAAAATCTCTTTTGTCATCCTGGCTAGTTTATATTTTGTCAGCAGAGACCTGCATTGTTCACAATGCAGAGAGATCTCAGAGCATGCTGGGGCTCTGCCAAAGCTGCCTGTTGTAATACTTTTGTTCATATGACCAAGAAAGAAACAAATCCCTACACAGAACCTGCATTATGCAGCTGAGATGCAGCTGAAGGGCAGGCAGAAAATGACATGTGCTCCAGAGACTCTCATGCAGATGCCTCTGCCTGGCACTGCACTTGCTGTTTCACAGGGTGTAGAAGCTGAAAACCAACAAAGTTGGTTGACCCCATTATTCACACAGACTGATGCCTTTCAACCAGGTTCACTGTAAATCTGTGAAGGGCGTAGAGAAATTGGGGGGAGAAGSTTTGTTTTAGGGAGGAGGAATGAAAACATAGAGAGTAAACGAAATRAAAAAAAAAAAGGAAAATAAAAGACAGATAAAAGGCATGATTCTGATTCTGTGAAATCTTCCAAAGCACATTATCCCAAAAAAGGGACTGAAATACTAGAAATGGGGAGACAACTCACTATCTGCAGAGTAGACCAAAGAGAAAAATCTTCTTTGACCCTTACAAAGGAGGGTCACATTAGGAGCTAATGGGATTTTCTGCCTCCAATTTCTGTGATTTTCTGGAGTAAGGCCAAAATTCATCTATTAGCAC